AGATCTGCTCGTACTTCGGGGAGTTGTTGACGTCACCAGCGGCATTGTAGATAGGCTAGATAGGATCTGCCATTTGTAGTCTGGGCGCAGAGCGCCAGATAGGATGTCGACGTTGGTTCTTTGTTGATGATGATGAGACTATTTCAACATTGTCACTTGTGAGCATTTGCTGCGCTCTTATTTGCTGAAACTCGTGTTGCAATTCTGCTTTTCGTTCGAGGTCACGACTACCTGGTTTTGTGTGTATGATGCTGCTTGGTTTCTGGAGTTCGCAATCGCTCATTTTCCTTGCACAAGGCTGTTAAAAATAAAAAATAAAAAGTGCTGTTGAATGTGCTTTCAACTGCAGACTGTGATGCAGCGGAGGACTGCTGCAATTATAATGCCACTAAGTTCACTGAAAAACAACGGATTTGGTACTGCAAAATTTTCACTGCAAAACAGTAATTTTGCTGTCGCTGAAATTTTACTGCAATTAGCTGGACAACGGATTTGGTACTGCGAAATTTTCACTGCAAAACAGTAACTTTGCTGTTGCTGGAATTTCACTGCAATTAGCTGGTTCAATGCTGCTGAGTCTTCGTGAATCTGCAACAGTGTAATGAGCTGCTGAGATATTAGTTGTTACCTGTTTCTGAGCTGCAGCTCTGCAATCTTATGCTCGAGTCCACAGACTTTCTGCAGATTTCTGTTTCTGAGTCAGCAAGGTCCTCACCAATCCTTTACCTGAGTCTAATAGCTGCGGTAAATTCTGAGTGCTGACACCTCTGTTTCGTATCTGCTGAGTGCAACTGCGATTAGTTCAGTCTGAGTCTCCCTTAGTTAAGTAAGACTGTGATGCCTCAGTGATTTCAGTGTTCAGCTGAGTCCGTATATCGGGGTTTCAGAGTTCCCTGGAATAGGGAACTGACAGATTCTGTCGGCCCTGCATGAATCTGTCCATAGACAATCAGTTGAGCTAGGGTGCTGTAACGAAGAGGTCCAGGGTTCGAATGTGATCGACCCATGTATCATATAGTACAAAGATAGCCGGGGTGTGGGTCGAGATGGGCCAAGTAAGACTGTGATGCCTCAGTGATTTCAGTGTTCAGCTGAGTCCGTATATTGGGGTTTCAGAGTTCCTTGGAATAGTGCAATCAGACTCGTTCTCAAACACACTTTTCATGCATGTCAACAGCAACGCAGCATACTGGCGACATGCGCCCACTCAAAACTCAGAGATATGGCTTTCAGATACGAGTTCACTCTCAATTGGCTATGGCGACTTCAGCGCCCAAACATCTCACTGTTTACATACGCTGGATCACCCTGGATATCCCACACGCGTCACTCTAACACTCGAACACACACACACACTCGCTACTAACTACAGCTAAGGCAGCTATCGCTGGCATCTAACCTATCGCTATGCTAACTCCCTCTCTCTTGCCCACTGTGTCCTCCGGGCTCATCTGCAGACCTCCTTGCACAAGTCGTTGTTGCAGCGCTTCCGCATGGCTCCCGCAGGAATGAATGAATGGCTGGGCGCTGCCTCTTGATTTATACTTCAGAAACTCGTTGGTCTGCCCTTTGCCATCGGCCCTTGGTGCTCACAGTCCCCCCGTGGTACTTGCTGGACCGGACTGGGACTGACTGAACCTTCCGCTGACTGACTGTAGACTCACTGCTATCCTACCGACGTTGTACTGCTGTTGCACTGCGGTTTAGTCCACCACTTGCCTCGCCACTTGACCACTTGCCCACTTGCCTTACCTTCTACAAGGTCTACAGCTAAGCTTCCGGAACTCACTAAGACTTCTACGCTATAGACCTACAGATCAAACCCCTGCTGCCTATGGACCTACGACAGACCTACCAACTGTCTGCAAATACACAGGTCACAGGTTCCATTCTCGGGATCTATGCAGATACTGTACATAGGTAGGGTGAGGTCTAGTGATCGAACCCTGGGTACTGCATCCGCTACTGCTAAAAGGTGAAAACCGTTTCAATAGGAAACTGACAGATTCTGTCGGCACTGCATGTATCTGTTCCATAGACAATCAGTTGATGAAGTAGCTAAGTGTGTTGAGCTAGGGTGCTGTAAGGAAGAGATCCAGGGTTTGAATGTGATCGACCCACGTATCAGATAGTACAAAGATAGCCGGGGTGCAGTCGGTATGATCCCCGACATCTCACTTAACTTGACATGTCTCCCCGTGAGCGGTGTCGAAGACCCGCACTCAGTTCCCGTGGACGTGGGGATGTGCCAAGAAGAACGTAATATCTAAAATTGGTAACCATTTCATAACGCTTTGTTAAACTCAGTACCACTCTTCACAAGGATCTTGATAAGGGAGAAGGGAACTCTTAGTCTTCCCTTCCGTCTGCCTTGGAAGTGACGATTTAGTCTACCTCCCCGTCGCCTAGCCTAAATCTCAGAGTTCAGATCCGCTCCATCGGATTGGCAAAATTCTAACCTGATTTCAAAGCCATCAGGGTCCTACAAGTGGTCCGAGGATCACCTAAGCCTTCACGTGGGCAGGAGAATCAGAGACCTCCCTCGTGAACAGTTCGTTCAAAGTCCTGCCAGCTTTCCCTCTTACCTTATCATAAGGGATTTTGACCAAGAAAATCAAAGCAGGTGGAGATTTGGAGTCTTTTGGACGGTAGAGGTAAAGAAGGCACCCAAGGTGGTCTCTAACCCCCCAGAAAGCCCTTGCAGTATGACCCCCTCTTCCCCATCGTACCTGCAACCCTTTCCACCCCAAAGCAAGGCCCTAAGGTGACCAAGTACTTGATTATCCACTCCACTAGGGCTACTTGGCCCAACACTATCGTCCACTCCAAAGCATAAAAGAGCTTTCTAGGCCGCCTTTCGACCTACAGATGCACCCCATGCCCAACTAGCACTTCGTATGTGTGGATTCTTTCACCAGGGCAGAAATCTATATGTACAAGCTAAGTCCCGGGACCAGGCATGATGAAAGCCAAGTGCTTAAAGGGGTGGGCTCTAACTAAATGAAAATCTAAAGTATGTTACGGACATGGTCATCTGTGATCTGATGGAAATAACAAGATCCTATGGATTTTTCTTACTGGGTGAAAAGAGGAGACTAGGGGAGTCGTTTCTTGGAGATGCATCTGGCAAATGTCCTACCTCTTAGACGGTGGATGTGCTCATGGGATACACACCCATGAAAGGAAAGTAAATGGCGAGAGGGGCTTGAGATGGGAAATGGAATGACCTTAAAAACCTAAAGAGGCAAGGTGTGGCGACTGCGTGTGTGGCATACTGGGTAGCCACACGGGCCCTGTAGGACCCGTCCCGGACATTCAGCCTAAAAGCCTAAAACTTAGGATCTACAGGCCCCGGTCGTTTCAGCCTGAAAACTGAAAAACGAGGGTCTGCAGGCCCTACTCCGTTTCAGCCTATTTC